TTATTATTATATTTAATATTAAAATATATTTATTTTAAATTGCAAAATATATAATAATATAATATCAATTTCTATTATCATTATTACTACATATATTGTATATCATGCATATTGTATTGATCTCTAAGCTTTAATACGGTTATTGATATATATTTTGTTATTAAAATTATAATACGCAACCTATTTTAAGTTCTATACTTATTTCGCTTATGTTACATACTTATGACAAAAACATGATACACAAAAAAATAGAAAGTTGCAACTATTATTTAGTTATATTCAATTAGCTGATGTTATTAAATTTTTTATACGCATAGAACATTTGCTGTTAGAATAAAATTGACCAAAGAATGGGAAAGAAAAATAAATAACAATAATGCATTGTTATTTTGAAAATCGACTGTGAAAATTATCACATATAATTTCTAGAATGTCAATTTTTTATTATATAACATAATTGTTCATGGGTTGTTCTAAAATGTGCCTCAGAAAGAATGAGAAATAATTGCTTAAAAAATGCATCATATTAATTTATTATCTAATTTAAGTGTTACAAATAAATTATAGTCCCAATCGACTAGAAAATATGATTTCTTAAACAAAAAATTTGAAATCTTTTTCATTTATATCAACAGGCTAGAAGTTAATCTCAAACATAGATAAATAATATTCTAGGACTATACAATTGTTACACGACATAATGCATTTGTATTATAAACTCAACGTGTGAAAGATTAGAAACAGAATACATATAAATGAAGTTCTTATAAAATCTTGCATTTATTTATACCTCAGTTCCTAATAAAGCGTTCCCATTTTGTGAAGTAAACATCATGTACATCTTTTTACTGAATTCGGGACCAATTTTACGTACTGCTGTAAGAGGTCCTGCCGCTCTCCTTATCTGTCACAAATAATATATTTAACTTTTATATATTTATTACATTAATAAATGTTACACTACAAAGTAACTATATGATTAGTAGATAGACTTGTACTAAATATCATATGTAAAATATTGTATAATTAATGTAAAATTTATACAATTAATTAAAGTAAGTAAAACTAACCATATGTAGAAACAGTTCAAGTATTATAACAGTTCAATAATTTTATGTATTCTTATTTTTTAATAGGAATAATAAAATAAAACTAAGAAACTTACTGATATATCTTTTAATAAATTCATGCCTTCGTCAGGTGTGCAATTTCTATAAGCCTAGAAGAGTAAAAACACATTGTATTTAATTTATTACTTAATAAACAAAATAGAGGCAAATTTTTTTCAACGACATATATGGCAGTAATTAATTATAATGATACCTTAATAAGTTGAATTGGACTAGGATAAACTGTACATATTGCTTCTGATACTTCTAAACTACTCAAGTTAAATTGGCACAATTGTTGCTGCCACAGTCTCTTTAACCCGTTACCATCTTTGTCCACACGCACTGTGTTCTTATTATCTCCCATAACGTACCAATCGAATTTACCTTCCTGATTCCCTCTTTTCTGCAATTTATATGGTATTTCCGAAATAGACTTTGTATACTGGCATATCATTAAAGCTAAATCGTGTGAATTCTCAATCAATCTGCTGCTGCATTTAACTACTATCTGAATTTCAGTCAAGCACATCTCCAATTGCTGCCTCGAAATAATTGGTAACGTGTCGAACTGTTGATTACCTTTGCTGTTATATCTGGACTCTTTACTTCCAGGATTCTGATCCGACTTCTGTTTCTTCCTATATGTAAAATACTCTTCCATACCACAGATAATCAAGGTCATATTGTAATTCGGTATCAGAGCCTTACAGTCTGAGACAGATGTGCAGAAAGTGCCTTCTGCCACATGTTTTATCGCTTTGTAGTTGCTCCAAATCACAATAGCATACTCTTCCATCTGTATACTTCTCCTTGTGCATACTTCATTATCTTCACCAATATAGTCCTCCTCAACGTTCCTCCGCCATGTAATACTATTAGGAATTTTCTCGGTGGTCACATTGAATTTAATATCGGCATTCTGCAACGCACTCTCAATTTCTTCTCGAGAAGCGACTGAGTCAATACCTCGATCAAGATAAACTTCCATAAACTTTATACATTCGCTGGGCTTCATATTCTTCAACGTTTTCTTCTCGATCGCTTTTAAGATCTTTTCTCTCGCTAAAGCTTGCTGACGTTTTGATCGTTCTTCCCTCAACATTGCCTTATCTTTTTTGGAAACTATCGCTTTTCGCGAAGTTTTATTAATCCGATTCTCCAAATCAGAAATAGGCGATTTTTCTGTGTGTTTATAGCCATTGTTGGCATTTAAATTGCTGTCACTTTGCGACGTCGGACTGTCTGTGATTTCACGGCAGAACAGCACATCCGGAAAATCGAAATCATTTGACGCGTCCGAATACTTGCCGCCGATCTCCAATTCGATTTTATCATGTTCGTCAACAACAGGAGAGAGAGATATGGATTCATCCGAATCACTCAATACTATCACATTCGACATTTTTTATTTTCTTCTAATGTTATTCTGATTTGTTCTTTCACGTCTTCTAATTTTTGCTTGTTTCTTAATTTTGCTTGTTCTTTTTTTTCGTCTTCTTTTTTCTTTTTTCGAATCTTAATTACATATAGTCAAACCACAGTATAACCAATAGGGACATTCCGTGTCGGTACCTTTGATCTCCGCGTCGCAGTCACGTGAGCATCCGCCATGTTAAAAATCGTTTGAAAAATCCAGGACTGAAAGAGGATATAATGCCCCATGCGTTAGTCTATTGCTTTGCTCTAAAAAACATAATTAAGGATGCCGTGTAAACGTAGTCAATGTAAAAATATTATCTTTTTCACAAAATTACATTTGATTGTTTAATTAAGTTAACCTAGCATAAACTATTTACTTTTTGTAAATTATAAAAACTTACCTTACGATATCTTTGGGATAATAGAAAAAAAGTGCATTGTGAATTTTTACTATTAGTATTGCATTGTTTAATACTGCAGTAACATAACTTTTTTTTTATCCATTTTTTAGAAATATTTATGACGCAGCTCTTAAATTGTCTTCTTTTGCCATGGATATCTACTCACACGATATACTGTACGTTCTTGTCATCTTGCATTTCATTCCGGCCCAAAACAAAAGCTGCGCAGCCATACCTGCACGAACACACAGTTTTTCGCTGAGTATCTGTTACTGATTATACAGTGGTCAAACGTTGGACATTTCAGAAGAACTACATATAGAAGGAATTTCTCTGATCTGTTGGTATAAGGGGTTCCGCACAATAAAACGAACAGGGAATAGAAAACAGAGAATAAGAATTTCAACTTATCAGAAACTGTGTATTCCACAATACATGATTTTTGATAGATTGAAATTCTTAGGAGCTCCAGAGGAACAGAGAATAGAGAATAAGAATTTCAACTTATCAGAAATCATGTATTGTGAAATATACAGTTTCTGATAGATTGAAATTCTTATTCTCTGTTCTCTATTCTTTTTATTGAGCGGAGTCCCTATTTGATGACATAAATCGATACAAGGGCCATTCTATCCTTGTTTACATTTAGAGAGTGACAAAGATAGAACGACGCTTGTGCCTACACACTGCCGATTTGTGTCATCAAATGAAAAGCATCCATAAAATCGAAATCAGACTATACATTGAAGATTGAGATTAAAGATTGAAATTTCACCAATGAGAACAAAGAAGTTTTGGTTCTTTTTGTTCTGATTGGTCAAACTTCAATCTTTCAATCTTCAATCTCATTCTTCAATGCGTAATCTGATTCCGGCCTTAAGCCGGTTCTACATTAGTTGCAAGCCGATCGCAAGTTTGTTGCGACAGCCAATCTGAAGCTTGCATTTTGAGATCAACGCTTCATATTTGATTGGTTGGTTTTCTAACTTAAGACCGTTACGACTTCTATGTAGAAGATTTTATTAACCCTTTGTCTTACATACTTTTCTCTTACAAATTAAAAAAAAGTTAAGCTTTGTACGAACGACATACCACGGCTCTCACCCATGATATTCATATTTGACCTGATTTCCTTATCACGAGTCTCATATAATATTATAGGCGAAAGAATTAATTATATATTTTATGTGGGAAGGAGATCCAGCTAACCTCTAACTTAATCTAACCTGTAATTTCAACTTGCTGAAGACAATCACATTCCTGGTTGGAAATCGACGCATGCGCACTAAAAATTGAGGATCACATAAAAAGTTCAGTGTCTATGCTGTATGTACTTATACTGTAATCATAGCCAGAGCTATAGTCATAAAGTTTCTATAGGCGCGCAAAGTCACTGCAGTGCAATCAAAAAGGCGCGCAGGGTGAATAGTGAAATGAGTAACGAAAATTGAAAGCGTTCGAATTTTTGCAAATGTAGTTTCAAATTGTGAGTTTCTTCTTTGCTGTATACGACGTTAGTGCTAGAACCGGCTAATCGAAAGCAATATAAATTAATGTTTCATATTTGCCTCTCGAAGTAGAACTAAACAAAACAAACTGACTAATGATTGTGTAGGTTATATACCTGTTGCGATAATTGTACAAATTGTACGTGTCTAATGCGTCACTCGCAATATTTGAGTCAACCGAGTTTTAAGTATATATATATTGCTATTTTCATGTTTTTAGATTAGTCAGATTGAAATTTTGTTTTGTTTAAAATGGATTCATCTTCACGCGAATCATCAGTGGAATTGGAAATTGTAGAGGACGAATTGCTCGACGAAGTGTTTTGTATGAACAATAAAGAAATTGTCGAATCTAAGCAAAATGACACAAAAAAGGAGGGCGAGAACAGTCCTTGGTACGAAGATGAAGAAGACACAGATGTTTACAAGAAGAACTATGAAAATTCGAATGCACGATGTGTCGATGTCCGAACGGAATCTGAAGAGGGACAAAACAATATTAAATGCACAGAGCACAAAGATAACATGAACAGACCAGATAAATTGCATACTTGGCGCAAGAGGACAAGGCAAGACAATATGGATCATGAGCATACTAAGATTTCTCGAAACAGACGCTACTCCAGTGACTCTAGTACAACCACTAATTCATCAGAAAACGATAAAAGACATGTAGAGTATGAGACAGATCCAGTTGTGCTAGCACGTAGACAAAAAGAAATTGATTATGGAAAAAACACTAATGGATATGACAGATATATTAAGCTAGTTCCAAAGTAAGTCTCATAAGATTAAGATATGTTAAAAAATTCTGTTATTTGTTGCACATATATTTAATTAAAATCGTTTTTTCAGAGAGAAACGTATGCGAGAACATCCAAGGACACCACCAAAATATATAAAATATAGCAGAAGGGGTTGGGATGGTATGATGAGGTTGTGGCGGAAGCAACTTCATTCTTGGGATCCTCCTCAGGAGAATGACAAGGTTGACAAATAGACTAAAGTCATTTTGTCATTCCGTTTATAATACTGCCAATATTATTTTCTTTAATTTATATTGCAATCATGTTATTTTAATGCCTTTATTGCGTATCATTTCTAGTTTTTGAAACAATTTTATAATATATAACTAATCATATAATAATAAGAAATATAACAAAGTGATATTTCTGTTCTTATTTATGCAATTTCATAATCG